TTTTTTTTGATAAAATAAATTATATTAATATTTTTAAGGCTTTTTTGGAGATTAATTTTCTTTTTGGATTTTTTTTCATGTTGTAAGTATAAAAATACTATTTACTATATGGTTCAAATTGAAAAAATGTAAGCTATCATTAAGTGTAGTGCATTTGAAAACACTCGAATAATGTGTAACGAAACTAATAAATATAATATTATTGACACGTGTTTTGTATTCAACAAGTAAATGATCCAACGGAATAATTATTGTTGTTGTACATCATCGTAACCGGCACGAGCCGCACGCTGCGTGGCACCGGCACGTGGACGTTTATCGCACGTGCCGTTCTACGACGAAAACATAACAACGGCTAAAGTCAATGGATATCAACAAGCGTAAGTGTAAATTAGATGGAAAAAAATAACCTATACTTTAAATGATCGAATTTATAAGATGCTGTAATTCATTGCACTGACCGTCCGGGATTCGCGATCGAATATACATTATTGCCAATAGATACGTAACAACTGTTGAGTAAACCGTATACGTCGTTGAGAAAAATTGACGCGGAAACGAGCGAACCAACATGGCAATCGTTTGCAATTTCTCGGATATCTTTGACATTCCTAACGCGTTTTTCTAAGTCTGATGACGAAATACAAGTATTTGTTGAAATCATAAATGAATACGCGCAACTGATGAATGGAAATGTTTTTTTTTTTTTTTTTTTAATAGTTAAACGCGTTCAAGTTAGTAACTGACTTGACTAACCTGCCCGCGTGGGATCAATTACACAGAAGCATCGTCTACAATCCTATACGGACGGGTAGTCCATTATTTTCGCAAAACAAAACCCGCGGTACACGTGGACAACATCGCGTTAGAAACCGAAAACCACACGGTTGCGTATACATTAATACCGTGACGTTCTAAACGTATACACGGGGCGGAACTAGAGGGTGGAAGACGAGCATTCATCCCCGGGGGTAAAATTTTAGAGGATGTAATTTTCGTAATTATTAACAACTAATTTGATATGTTTTCAATACTGTTATTAGATTAAAACTCAATAAGTATGATTGCATATTAATTATTAGTAAAGCAATTCTCGAGAAGAGTATTCGATTACCGGTCTATGGATAGGGCGTAATTTTAACATGTTCCCCGGGCGCAAAAATTCCTAGTTCCGCCTCTGCGTGTACACATTACATAATACGCGCGTGTATTAGCAATAATAAATCTCCTTACCGCGAAGTACAATGTGTATTACGAGCGTACACTATTATATTTGATAGGTGTACACGATGCGTACGGTGCGGTGCGCGTGTGTCCACGATGTGCGAGGGGGAGCCGATCGATTTCATTATTAAACCGAGCGCTTGTTGTCACCACACACACACGCGCGCGCGCGCGCGCACGTACATAACAAAAATCGGTTCAATGGAAATCTAATTGCGGACATTAAGTCTGCGTGGGGATGAACCTGAGGGATTTTAAAAACGGGACGTCGTCGCCGCCACCACCGACAACCCCTGTTTTCCGAGTTCTGGGGTCGCGGTTCTGCAGTGTAGAGCACGTGTATAATATACCCGAACGGAGCCGGCGCGTATTATGTTTTTGTTTCGAGTGGGGTACCGCTGAAGCCTCGTAATACAATTTGACATGAACATATCCGCCGCCTCGTAAGCGTACATGTACGTGCATGTGTTTCGTCGGACGTGAAAAGGATTTACACCTTTACGCTTCGGACGCATGCAAAGCTGCACTTGTCGCTCGCAATCATGTCTGCGGGGCGTGTTTGATCGGAACGAGGATCACCATCAAGTCATGGGTCGTCATCAAGAATTCAAACAATACAACTAGATAAACCTATTCACAATGCAGATGGCCTCTTTCTCCGTCGATTTAATTTTTTCTCTCTGGCAAACCACTCGTCGATGTCCATCACCGTAGCATACGCATCGTATATCATTCGAGAACCCGGTTGTTCTCCGGTCCGATGCGACTGCAGACAGAAAAAAACCGCGCGCGGCCCACATAAACGTATTATTATTATTAATGTGTCATAACTCGTCATCGGTGGTGTGCATATGATAACGTTTTGGAGGTTCAGATCCCCCCCCTCTCCGAAATAAATATACGGTGAATTTCTATTTAATTACAAAAGTTGATTCCGAGTATCTTTTAACAAAAAATGCATAATGATTTTGAAAATTTATATTCTTTTTAAACAGATTTCACTCAGTTGCCAAACTTTTGAAGCAGAGTTAAAACTATGGACAAAAAAATGGAAAAAGTTCCTTGGAATGAGGGTTCAAATTCAGCTATTAATGCTTTCAATAATGTATCTATTGCATTTTTTCAAAGTATATGGTTCTTGGTGTCGATATTAAAAAATTCACTTATACCAACAACATCATTAGCAAGATATTTTTCGATATTAAAAGAATTGAAGTCGTACTTGAGAAATATTAAAAGCAAAAATCGACTCAAGAAAATTAACCATAATGTCAATTCATTTACATATTTGAAGACTCCCAAGAAGTAATAAATTATTTTTAGAGCTATCTTAAAAATGAGTTTTTTATTTATTTAATTAACAAGGAATTATAGTTATTACAATTATTAAAATAAAGTTAATTCGTAATATTAATTAAACCTTTTCTAATAGTACAACCTTCTTCTTTACGAAATTAAATCCTACATACGCCACTACTCGTTGAAGTTTTCGAATGTTCAAAGAGCTTCGTACAAATCGATAAAACCTTATGACTAGGTATGTCATAGAAACTTATTTTACTATCGTATAAATAAATGTTAGTAAAAAAAAAACAAAAAATGTACATCTACTTGATAGATTAACTCAAAAAATAACTTGAAATAAATTTAAAGCAGTACATCCAAAAGCACCAACTGGTTATCAAGTTCAATAAGTAATTCTTCGTAATAATTTATTGAAATATATATTTTCAATTCATATACAACTGCATAGATTATTTTAATGATATGTATTATTACTTTTTACTGGCATTATCATAATATTAACCATATTTACCTAAAACTAATTATTATTATACAAAAAATTTAAGATCAATTATTTTAAGTACCTCAATAATAATATTATACTCATTTGCATATATTTTCTTTTTCATTTTTATAGTATAATTAATTATAATTTTATTTATATAAAAAAATGTGTCTTGTTTTTGATTTAAGCTATCATTAAAATATTGAACTTCCATCATTAACAAAAAAAAAAATAAAAAAATATTGTATGATAAAATTATTTTTATTAATTTTACATTTTATTGTGAAAACAAATGTTTTGAATTGAATATAATTTATTGTTTTCTACAAATTAAGTTTAGAAAAAATTGAAAATCGATTCATTATACTGATCTACCGAATTGTTTCGTATTATCATTGCGTTGTACGTTTTCAAAAACTTTTTGAGGTTCGAAATTTACACCGTTTTGTAGTTTATTCTACATTATTTATAGCAATAATTTATTGTCTCGCGTTAACTTCTCGAAGCTTCTAATAATTTTTTTAGATTTTATTTAGCCATTCCATTCCTTGCAATGTTTAGGTACATTGAACACGTTTAAAATGTTATACTTATTTTTTATTTTTTTTTGTTACCTAACTGAAACTTGCGGCACATTTTAATTCGTACACTTTAAATGATTATGCATCAATATGGATATACAAAACTTAAAAACGGGATATTCTGTAAATTTAAAACAGCCTACATTCTAACAAATCGTTTACTTTTATACAAGCATTTCATTAGCTGAAGACGTTGGACTTAAGCTATGGTTATTATGGATACGAATTCTAACGAAAATGTGTTCTGACGAGTACGTCCGAAATCCTCGTTAGAACACAAGATGGTTACACTGTGCGGGTTTTCTAATATTCTTACAGCCAGTACGTTTCTGCCACCCAGCAAAGATAGACGAACTCGATGAGTTTTATGTTCTCGAAAGTCCGTTAATGAAGTTATCATTGTTAAATGGTGGAAAAACAGAGCAAGTTAACCAGTTATTTTCTAAAATAAAAAAATAAATATAAAAATATCTCTGTTTGGTAATTTTTTTCTCTCATGTCCCACAAACATTTGTTCCCGTACACGAGATTGATTAATTTATCGGAATCCATAATTCAAATAAATCAATATATTAATAAATTGTATAATAATTGTAAAATATCAAATTTGCTAATCTCAATCACGTCGAAATAGACGCAGTTCGCACGAAAAAATCAAAATTGTTTGAACGCTCAACTGTTTCTGACGATATCGTGTATGTTCTGACGTGATCGTCGCTGCTAATGTACACACTCTCATTGGAAAATACGTGTTTGTTTATTTGGACGAATTCGTCAGAATTCGTATCCATAGTAACCATAGCCTTAATAGTTACGTGTGTTGGTATACGTAATTGTAGTTTCGTAAAAATAATCAAATATGCTTGAAATCGCTACGTGAAAACGGGGTTTGGAAAAATCACGTCGAACCGTACAGCGGATGTAAGACGATATCGTCAACGAATTATTTTACGCAGGTGCTACCGCTGTGTGTACCTACGCGCGCGAAAATGAAACGCACTGCCGGACATGGTTTTTTTTGCGCGAAATTTTCCATCTCGTCCGCGCGCTCATCGTCGCCCGCGGTCGGTCTGGTCGCCTCCGCCCTCCGCGTGCACATTTTCCCCCGTCGAAACAAGGGTTGACGAATCACGGGGTTCGATTACGCTGCAGAATCAAGAGACCCACCACCACCGCCAATATCACCGCGAGCGTAAAATGCGAAACGTATTACGTACAATATAATATTTTCATATTAAACACGGTGCGTAAAAAAAAAAAAAAAAAAAATGTTAAGTCGGGGGACGAGGTCAGCTGCGACCCACAGTGCAACGTGTGCGGAATACGCGAAGTCCGTACGCTTTTGTGAAGCGCAAGGTGGTACATGTACGCGGGCGCAGTGCTTTATTTTGTTTGTGGTGGCGCGACCGCGCCTCCTTCGCTCCACCCTCATTGCACCCTTCGCGGACGCGACATCGGCAGCCGCCCGAGGACCGGAACAGGTTGCACCACTTGCCGACCAGCGAGCGACCGTCCAGCAGGTCCTCCGACCGTAAAGCACAGTACGCGCACCAGTACCCGGATACAGTTTCCACGCCGACCGCCGTACAACCGAGCATGGACCAGCCGACCGACGGCGAGCGCGGGACGCGCGCCGTGGCCGCTGCCTACCTGCCGGCCAACTGCTGCACGGCGCCCGTCGACGTGGCCGACGTGCTCAGGAGTCACAACGTGCACCGACGAGCAGATCGGTCGCAAGAAGATCACCCGCCACCACCTTGTTCCGGCAACAGAAAGTACAAGGTAAGCGTACGTCTGTGTTTAGATCGGAGCACGTGACTGCGTATCAGTTTTGTACGATGGGCGCAATCCGCCTGATGTCACCGAGGGACCGACGAAATCCTTCCATTGTTGCGTTCGACTAAAACGAAATTCGTTGTCTAATCGATTTTCGATCGGTTTCCGCTGCGAAATTAAACCGTCGATTTTCAACCGATCGTTTTCGATGTTCTCGGAGGTTAGGCGTTAAGAATAACGAGTGCCCGGTGAATACACGAACTGCAATGATGAGTTTCACGTTTTCCATGTCATAAGAAATAATTACTACCATTTATAAACGGACCGCGTTCATCTTTTACTTCGATCGTTCTCATAGTGTTCACGGAATCGTTTACATAAATCTAAATTTCCCCGTCTCTGTCGATACCAAGCGATCATAAAAGCTTCGTCGATCGATACTACGATTTTCATCATCGTGGAACGTCCGTGGTGTTCAACCATTGTGGTTTTTTTTTTTTAACGCGGCCCTCGCCGATTTTCAGATGCTGGTGTCCGCGAACGACGAGGGACGTTTGGTGTGCGAGAACGCGCCGTCGTCCCGCTGTCCCGCCGCGGCCGGTTGCAGCTGTTGGATACTGTCCGTGCCGCTGGCCGAAGACTGTCACACGTACAACTGTCGGCTCGCGCTGCTGGCCGCCAGCGGCACTGTCGTACTGCACACCACCGCCGCCGTGCTGCCCGGACAGCCGCTCAAGATGTGGTTCCCGCATGATCTGCAGCTGATGCTGCACGTGCCCTTTCTCACGCCCGTCAACATAAGAGGTGAGTTAGTCGCCATTCCGTATCCGCGGGCGATCACCCAGTCCAAACGCGCCGTCGGCCCGACCCTGTGCGTCAGACCCTCGCGTTCCGCGGCGGGAAGGTGGTTATTTTTCAACGAACTCGTGCGGGATCAAAAACCTTTTCACGCCCGCGGGATGCAATTCTGCTTTTAAAAAATGCCTTTCCGACTAACACCGCTTGTGGCCGTTGAAACTTAACGGGGAAACGTGGGTGTGCCCATGAGACGGATGAAATTATTTGTACCTATATTATTGATCTTGCGAGCCTATAGAAAATTCGAAAACCGATGAAACTGCGACCGGATTGTTCATGTTTTCGCACGAATATCACACGGGTCCTTTCGATGAAACATACTTGTAAACCGTCAACATTTTGATATAAGCCCCATCTTACGCAGAATCCAACATTTTTTGTAACACCGATATTACAGTTACTGGCGCTGTCGAAATTATTTGTCTTTCACGGTCACACAAAATAAGTCTTCTCGCTTTCAACTACAATATCGTAATTTCTATACGCATTTAAACTCCTAAATTGTGCATCTGACGGACTAACTGAACATTTTAAAAACCAACTGTAACTTATACGTTCCAATAGCAAGTTTAATCTGCACGAATCCTGCTTGACAAAGGCTGCCGTTGAAAAATTAAGTTCGATATCGGTTTATAAGTGAATCACTGAACTAATTAATTTCAAACGTTAAGATTGATCTGATATATTTTATACTTGAACTAATTAAAATTAAAAAATTGTAATAATCACGTGGTACATATAAACACTAAACGTCATGAATGAAATACCAATTCAGTGTTAATTCGTAAAATTGCAAAAGAGCATATCGTGAGATCCGACATTCTTATCGCAGTAAACAAATCGGGCTGAATGTTTTCTTCTTCCATAACCCTCGCAGCATACGCTCGTGAACAGTGTACCGGTGGTTTTCTAACCGGGAGAGTAGGAATCACGGGGATAATTGAAGGGTCACCGGAACGATTAAAAATAATATCGATAATTGTTTTTTTTTTTTTTTACATACCGTTCATACGTACCTGTATTGTAAATGCGCATACGAACAACACGTCTAAGCGTAACGAACCGAACATTACTGTATAAAAAAAAAAAAATAATAAAAAAAATATCAATAATAATGTAAAACAAAGTGGTCGCGATTCGTAAAACGACCGTTGCGAAAACCACTTGTAGCGCGAAACGTCGACCGGTAACTACAGTAAAAAAAAAAAAAAAAAACACCTGTTTGCGCAGACGAGAGGATGTACGTGTGCCACGAGTGCGGTTACGCGTGCGAGAAGCCCAACCCGCTGAAG